TAAGTTTGTTTTAAAAGTTGTTTCAATTAGTAAGTAGTAATGTTGGGATTTTAATTAGTTCAATTGTGTTCATTTTTGGGGTTTTTGTTCAACTTGTCTTTAAAAACTGCTTGAAGAAGTAAAGAGTGAACACTCAAGATTTGAGTGAATCAACAACAAGTGCAGTGGTAATGATAAGAATTTGAATGAGTTGCACAAGCCAAGGTACATGTTTATTACTTTCTAGACCATAACATGAATATGAAACTTGTATTTTGCACAAAATCAGTTCATGCTTTCTTTTGCAATAACATGTCTCATGCTTGAATTACATTAGAATCAAACTTAAATGTGAGGTAGCTTTCCATTGTTCATTATATGCACAGGAGACCACAATTATTTGTTTTGATGTGGTGGACTTATGTTTAATGTTGCAACCACTTGTGAATGATATGAAAGCATAGAAATGATCAAGACAAGTTTTTTGAACTCGAACACAACCACTTTCTTAAAAGTAAACTACCTTGTGAGCGAGGGAGTACTCGATAACCTCTTTGAGCCTAAAGGATATAATCTCATTAATTATAAACTGTTTAGATTCACTAAGTAAGTCAAACACTTAGCGAACCTTATCTATTCATTGAAACATTCAGATCATAATTGATCCATGAATATATTCTAAAAAATTTCTTCTGAAAAATAAAACTTGAAGTCGTCATTGAATTTTGTCCCTTTGCCTTAGGATATGGTAGCATTCAAGTGAAATTTTAAGATTTGTTCAAGTTGGGGAGATGAAAAAGAGGGTTACTTCAAAAGCAAAAATCATGGAAAGTAAATAAAAGAAAAGAATTAAACACATGAAGAGTGAACAAAGAAAAGAAAATAGAAAAGAAGCTTTAAAGAAAAAGAAGGAAGTGTCAATTTTTTTTGTGTGTTCAAGCATGTCTCATCAAGGGTGTAATCAAAAGAGGAATGATGTTTAGAAAAGTATTAATTGTAAACTACAAATCTCTGAATGCTCTTCTAACTTGGCTACTTTGAATCATTAACCATAGATATGATGACCTTTCCATGGTACCCAAGCCCCATTAAAACCCTTGAAAGACCTTAGTGATCTATGCTTTTGTACTTTCATAATGGTATTCCTAGATGAATGCATAATTTGATCAATATGTTAGCAAAATCGTGGATGTGAGTTCAAATCCCGTATTATTTTCAGTTCTTTATTCACTTACAAAGAAGTATGTTAGATGTGATTCATGATTGGACATGTTTATTGTCTTGGAATTATTGACATGAGTTTTGTGTTGAAAATTGGTTTCTTGGTCATGGTTTGATCCTAGGATAGTAATAAGCATAACAACTTGCATGTACATTTTGCAATTAAACCATGCACTTTGAATGTTTATCTTAATTTGGTTGATCATGAAAAACTTGGTGAAAGTTACTCTTGCATTTAATTAGCTTTTTAAGACTTTTGTTTGAGGACAAACCAGCTTCTAAGTTAAGGAGAGTTGATAAGTGGCAAAATATAGTACCCAAACACAAGTTAAGAGTATAAAAACTCCATTTTAATGTAAATACCAGTTGTGTGAGAATGATAGTTGATTTATGCTTTTTCACCCAAATCTAACTCATTTTGTAGATGATTTGTTCAAGGCAAGATTTTGGTCAGCAAAAAACAAAAGAAGAAAATCTTCAGCAGGCGCGCTGAGCAAACTCTAGGTGAGCAAAGCTAAAAGAATTCCAAAGTCGTGCTTCCAGCATGCTTGAAGCGAGATTGCATTTTCAACACGCTTGAAGCGAGCAAAGAAAGAAGATTCAAGAGAGTTGCACTTCCAGCACGCTTAAAGCAAGCAAAGAAAGAAGATTCCAGAAAGTTGTGTTTCCATTATGCTTGAAGCGAGAGCTTGCTTAGCTCAACTTTCTGGGATTGAGCGAGGTAAGGCGGTTTAGGCTGCTGGCTTGTTAAATTGCTTTATCGTGAAAAAAGGTGGTTGCACTTAGAGAGACTGGACGGGGCTGAGCGCAAGTGTGATTTCAAGACTAGTATATATACTATTCAAAACACACACACACACACACAAAAAATATCTTTGACCATCTTTTATCATTTTTCATATATAGAAAGACTTTTGGAAGAGAGAAAACCAGATTTAGAGGAATTGAAGATGGATATGCATAAATCATTGAGAAATCAAGATTGATGTTCATTCATCTTTATTCTTCTCACTTATACGAAGCTATCATAAGCAACTAACTTCTCTCTTGTTGGGATTAAACACAATTTACCGTAATTGTATGTATCTTTTCTTATCGATGTTATATGAATTAGTTATGAATCAATATTGATATTATCTTTATTTAAATGTTACTTTTATGGATTTGAATTGTTATTGAGAAATGTCTTTCGAATCCCTACTTAAGATAATCATATATTAAAATCTAAATTCTATAAATAAATTTGATTTAATATTCACTCCTTGTATTAGTTCTTAATGCTATCGTATTGATTAATAGGCTGAGAAATTGTCGATTAAATAATACGGTAGAACCTACATCATTGTTTAGACATAAATGATGTCTGTGAGCAATATGTGATAATATCGACTAATAACTAGGATCCATATAACCGATCAGTAGAATACATGCAACATAGGTTAATGAAATCTAATCCCGACAAGTTTTTCTATTTGTTCATTTTCTTAAACATTTACAGTTTTACATTCCTTTAATTTCAGTAAACAATTATCCTGTAAAACCTTCACTTAAAATCCTATTAAATGTTGAACGACAATGATGTCACACCAGTCCCCGTGGATACGATAAAAACAATACTTGCTTTTGATTCTACACATCAGGAGACTCATTAAGAATATGACGATCCTCGATACGCTTCATGTTTTCCTTTGAAATTTGACCGATCTGGCAGTTTGGAGGGACAAAGGGTAGTTGACACTCATCCATCCTTCTCGCCAAGCATTCCTTTCTTTGGCCTAATGGATTTGTTGACATTGTTCTTATGAAGAAAATATATAGGGAAAAATTGCATGAAAATAATTAAGGAATGACCTACAATAGAGTTGTTACGGTTTTATAGATATTCATTTATCCTATTGTCATCCCCTAGATCCAAGCTTGAGTTAAAGTTCCTAAACCAAGCAAAAAGCTTCAGCAAACTCGGAGCAAGGTTCCAAGACCCTAAACTTCTCACACTTTGTATGTATTTTAAAGATGAGAAGGAAAATTCATAATATCTTTTCCCTGAGGAGGTTACATCCCACTTACCAATAGACTTCCATAGAATAGTTAGCTAAGCACACAAGACATCTATTTTAATCAACATTGTACCTTTTATCCAGAGTATACGACCGTGCAAATCATTCTTGGAAGCTTGAATCTATTCCATATGCTCATCCTCAAGAATTGTAATGGCGATATTGTCACTGTGAACATAGGGTTTAGGTAATTCTCTCATCAGTATGTGACAAATATTGCTCAAAGTTCGAAAAACCATTTAACTATAATCGTTTAGGGTTTCCTAATAATCAAAGGCACGACAATTGATTGCAAACAAGACTAAGGAATCACAGTAGAAAACATGATCAAATGAAGAAGAAAGTTCAAAAATTAAAATATAAAAAACTTCAAGTCTAAAAAACCTTAGTATTGTCAAAGAGTCTCTCTCATCTCTCTGACTAACATCATGAATATTTCCAATATTGATCAATGTGATTGACATCAAGTTGCTTATTACTCCAAATGGTAATACACCCCTATATAATTCTTTTTTATTTGAAGTTTTTCAATACCTAATTAGCATTAACCCATTAAACTTCCCAAAACATCAACTTGTACTAAACTTCTACATGATTAAACTCCAAAAGATTCACACTAAAATAGAACTATTGTGACACAAAGAAAACCCCTATTCTCCAAGCTGTTTACCAACATGTATCAATTACTCTCTTTATTTGAAGTACTTGTATAAGCATATCAAATATGATCATCACCATGATCGTTATTCATCATATGCACAGCAACACAAAACAGCTTCCACTTAGACCCCACGCACCCTTTCCTGACATACACTCACATACACCACCATCCACTCACTCACTCACTTTTCACTTACATCCAATGCTTCCAAATCCAACACTTCAACTTTTGCTAACAGTCATACAAATTCATTACTACATTACAAAACCAAATTCCATTTTTTAATGCACTCATAATATTTCACTATCAAGCAAAGATATTCTTAGAAGTAGGGTTGCACCATATCCGACATGCTCCGGTGTCTGAGATTTATATAACACATATGCAACACGTATCAGAAAAATCAAACAAATATCATAAAAGTAAAACAAATGTTCTAAAAAAATAGTCTTTTTTTTTATCTGACATTATATTTTATATTGTACTACTAAACACTAGCTAGTATTTGTACTAATTGGTGAATTACATTTACCAAACATGTGTATGATGAATTTTCCTAATAGGTTTAACATCATTAATTACAATAATCATGTTCTACTTTAAAATACAGTTATTACTATTATTGAGAAACGGGTTGATACTTGTAAATTGAAAAAACTGGTCCACAGAATGCAGAGAATAGTCAGAAAACTGACAAAGCGTGACATAGTTAAAAAACAAATTTTTTAAAAACATATGAGTGACTGCAAGTCATTACTCATTCATTTAAAAAATCACACCATGCATAAATAAAATTTTGATTTCTTCATCACATTAATACTATATATACAGTACAATATACACATCATATACACATCATCATAAATACACAATTAAAATCTCTATATATTTTCACCATTCTCTCTTCTGTTATACTATGAAACTGCCTTGAGAATCAAATCCTTTCCTTAACCTTCACGCCTTCATTTATAAGGTTCAACCTTTTAACCAATCTCTTTGACCCTTTTCTCACTTCACCTTTTAACTCCTTCCTAACTCTTTAAATTCTCACTTTATCACTCTATCATCTTCCTCACACAAACATGGACCCTTTCAAACAAAAACCTAAGTGTTTATTCATTCATGGACCTATCATTGTAGGTGCTGGTCCTTCTGGTATAGCAGTTGCTGCTTGTTTATCAGAACAAGGTGTTCCAAGTCTTATTCTTGAGAGAAGTGACTGTATAGCTTCACTTTGGCAAAATAGAACCTACGACCGTTTGAAACTTCATTTGCCTAAACATTTTTGTGAGCTTCCTTTGATGAGTTTTCCTCAACATTTTCCTAAGTATCCTACCAAACATCAGTTCATTTCTTACATGGAATCCTATGCTGATCAGTTTGATATTCGTCCTAGGTTTAACCAAACTGTTGTTACTGCTGAGTTTGATCCATGTTCGGAAATTTGGAATGTTAAAACACTTGACGGTTTTCAGTATTCTTCACCTTGGCTTGTTGTTGCTACTGGTGAAAATGCTGAACCTGTCATTCCTAAGATTCATGGTATGGAACATTTTCATGGTCCTGTTGTTCATACTTGTGACTATAAATCTGGTTCTCAATACAAAAACAAGAAGGTTTTGGTCATTGGTTGTGGTAATTCTGGTATGGAAGTTAGCTTGGATCTTTGTAGACACAATGCTCTACCTCACTTGGTTGCTAGAAACACAGTAAGTTCCCTTTCTTTTTACTTCAAATTTTCAATCGCCTCGATGCAACTTCAATCGAGGTTGCATAGACATATGGTTTTAATGTGAATTTGACAAATTCACCTTGTTTTCAAGTTTAAAATTTTTATTTATTTACTTTAGTAGTACTTTTAATAGTGACATTCATAAAGGTGGAATTTTTATAATAATTTTATATGTAATGATAGATAATGAAAGCTATATAATTTTTAAGTACTTAAAATGATGTCATGTATATGTTTTTTTCCCATTTAGGTAACTAATAATCAAACTTTGGAGTTTGTACTTTTATGCTAACTTTGCTTCATATTTTTTAATATAATTTAAGGTACATATGCTTCCAAGAGATATCTTTGGGTTCTCAACATTTGGAGTAGCTATGGCATTAAACAAATGGCTTCCATTGAAATTAGTTGACAAATTCCTCTTACTAGTTTCAAGCTTCTTCTTGGGAAACACCAATCACTATGGCATCAAAAGGCCTAAAACTGGTCCTATAGAACTCAAACTTGCAACAGGAAAAACTCCTGTCCTTGATGTTGGTCAAATTGCTCAAATTAAATCCGGTAACATTAAGGTATGTTTTTTTTTGGTCTAACAATATCGGTTTTTGGCAGTTATCTGAGACTAATATTGATGAATTTTGTGAAGGTGATGGAAGGTGTGAAGGAGATAACAAGGAATGGTGCAAAATTTATGGATGGACAAGAAAAGGACTTTGATGCAATAATCTTAGCAACAGGTTACAAGAGCAATGTGCCTAGTTGGCTTAAGGTTAAAATTTGATCTTATGTTTATGTTTTTAGCTTTATCTTATTCGATGAAACACTTATGACCTATCACTATCTATGTTTTGGGACACATGCAAGGAGCATAAACATACAAATGTCTTCTTTTCTTCATGCAAAAATCATCAAAGAATAAAATCAGTTTTGTTTGGTTTCTGTGCTTTGTGTTATGCTTCTCTACTCTCTAGAAAATGGCTTTTATTAATTAATTTATTTATTTTTTAGGGAAGTGATTTTTTCACTAAAGATGGAATGCCGAAAACACCCTTTCCTCATGGATGGAAAGGAGAGCAAGGATTGTATACGGTAGGGTTCACAAGAAGAGGTTTACATGGAACATATTTTGATGCTATCAAAATATCTGAAGATATTACAAATCAATGGAAAACAATTAAGAACAAGAGTTGTAGTAGTGATTCACATATCATAAACCTTATTAATGTTTAGCAAGTTTTTTTCTAATGAGAGAAGAATAGTATAGGGTTAGGGTAATTTGGGAATTGTACTAGCTAGCTTTGGTTTATTTTTTTTCTTGGTTTTCTGTGTATGTACAATTTTGTATTTAGGAGCATACGCTTTTTTAACTACTCAAGTGTTGGCTTTTTGTACAAAACAGTTTCATAAATGGAATGGCACTTCAGTTCTCAAAGAAAAAGTGTAAAGTGAAAAGTAAATAAGTGTACTCAAAATTTAAACAAATGAAGTGAAAACTGAAAAGCAAGAAGTGGGAGTTTACGTAGTTTACTAGTACATTATACTCATGAAAATTTTACCAAACAAAAGTCTACCTTAAAATCTGGAATTGTAAAAGTTTTCACGTTTACTATCCGTACACATAAAAAGACTAAAATAAGTAGATATTTGAGCAAAGTAATTAAAAGACTCATCATGATTCATGACTTATGATTTGTAGCATATATGACCATCGTCATCGAGGATTCCGTCACCTTATGCAAAGTCATGAGGTTGTACCATGTAATTTTTTTTTAAAAAGGCTTCATTGAGAAAAACATTGAGGGAAATTCGTTTTACAAGTGAGTTTAAAGATAAGGCAATAACGAAAGATAACACAGTTGTGGTTGGTTTTACCATTGGTTCAAATAAATAAAAAATAAATCAAATCTTCTTGCTCATGAAAGCCTTTAGCGAAAGCCTATGCTTGTATATAGATCCATCGGGGTTGTGGTTCACTCTAGCAACCCATTTACAACTTATGGTGTTACTTTTGTGGGACAGTTATAGAAGGTTAAGGTATTATGTAGTGGAACAAAAAATAATAGTGGTGAGGTCTATTGTGGATGGTCTTCAGCATAGAGGTCTTTGATGGACGCAGATAGAGTGTATTTGAAAGGTAATCATTCGGTGAAGTTAGAGGGGAGGAATTTGTAAGCGTGTAATTAGTTATATTTTGGTGTGATGCAGAATCACATTTAAGAATGATGGCTAGAACCACTCTCGATGTCGAACGTCACACCTTATATGGGGGACCGTTGGATGGATTCTAATTGTTGAGATAAGAACAATACCTAACTTCAGTGCAGGGTTCTCTAGCGAAAGTATGTTTGTTTGTCGACATAAGCAGACACAGTTTTGAATTCGACCTTTTCATTGGGCCTGTCTTATTGGATCACTTTGATCGATTCGGAACAATCCCCCCTAAGTTCTTGCTATCGGACACGAAACTAGGATTCTTGTTGCAAGATTGTCGAGGTCAACCTCAACTGCTCCGAAGTGTCGTGATCATTAGAAGAAATCTCTAGGCAATGGAAAAGATCTGTGATAAGTTGATTGGGAGTTGGTAATCTTAAGAACATGTGCATTAAATGCTTCTCTCATCACATAAATATTACTTTAGGAAGGACTTCCACATGGACGTATACATCTAGGGTAGTGAGTTGATGCTCTTAGATTGCTTGAGTGTACTCGAGTGTCCTTGCAAAACTGAGGTCGAATATGGTTTGTTAAGGGTGCCTTTCAATATATTATAGATTCTTGGTTGAAGATACTGATGCCACTGGTTGCCTATATATTGATGGAGTGAATTCAATTTCTTTTTTTGCTCTATTTGCTTCGCAAAATTAATATATTTGTCTTCCTCCTCATTTTCAAATTTCTGCAATCCTTCGTGTTCTCCGATCCCCTCTCTCTATTACAACTTACTTTCTTAGACTTTAGTGATTTGCATTTTTAAAATTCAAAATCTACAAGCATTTCAAGATGATAATCTCTCTTTTTATCATTTTCGTATTTTTGTGTTAGGTTGTTGGGTATGGCTGATATAAGAAACCTGGGTGTCCTGGTCATAAATCTAGTGAGTGCGGATGAACCTAGTGATGCATTCTCTTGAAAAGAGGCAGAAGTGATATATCGAATAGGTTAAGAAGTGTCATCTAACGATGCTAGGAATTCATAAGTGAATTTTTTATATACTATGGGGCTTGCTGGCGCTTAGGACTCATAATTAGACGTTATTAGAGTGAGTAGTCCCTTAGAGGTTAAAAACCCAAAGGCTGACACTAATGCGGTGGAGGGGGGATGCACTTATAAAAATAAACATAAAGGAGGTCACTTAAAGGTTCATTTTCGCTTCCTTGTACTTGCCAAACCTAGAATATGTAGATGAGTTCATGAATGAACGAAAGACTCAAACTTACATTAAGACACATATGAAGGCTTTTGGTTGTGATCCTACTAATTATGAAGGCATGTGGTGTATAGGATTATAGCCATTTACCCGTATTAATGGTTGTTCTTTTTTATCTGTTGACAATGGTGTATAAATGGTGTATTAGGGACAACAAAATGCTAAGATTCTTGAGGATGTAGGCCATGTCCTTTGATTAGATCAAGAAATTTTGTGGACGACGACCAACATTTTTACCAAAGAGCTGACTTTGGATAACACCTATAACTTCTACACTGCTGTAGGACCTTATTCTAAATAAGGGGTAGTTCACCTTAAAGGTGACAAAGGGTTGTGTTGTCGATATTTCAGATGTATTATGCCCTTACACGGGTGTCACTTCTCGCGGATGGGGCTCAGGCTCCCTTTTAAAAACTTTGAGGTGAAGGTTGTTAACCTTAATGGATTTCCATATAGACGACCCTAAGATCTATAACACTTAATGGTTTTTCAATAGGATCATCTCAAACGTAATGGACCTCATTGGTCTAGAGGGTGACCATATACATAAGTCATATCATCATTCTGTAGATGACATTATTTTTAGGTATTCGTCAAGGAAAACTAGTGAAGGCTACCAAAAGATGAGAACGAACAAGGAACCTTTCTCCAACTGACCTTCCACCGATAGACAACAAGAAGAAGCACATAGCATGGTTAGGCTAGAACTCAAAGAAATCTCTCTTTTCCCATCGACTTCTACGCTTCCATATTTCCTTATTATTCTCGGCCCTAGCATGGCCAAGGAACTTCAACATCATGTATTATAAGATCACTACGCCTTATTTTCTAACAAGGTGGAGACAACCCGTCAAAAAGAGATGGTAAAAATCTCTTATCAGATGCATTGAGTTTCCCTTTTTCAAGCCTTTAAAGTTTTAAGTAAGGGAAACCTTTTAGACCTATGAACCTCCAAAAGGATAAGGAAGTCCTATAATAATTTCTTCATGGGTGATATTTTTGAAAGGAACAAAATCCATCATGAACTTACTTGGTCGTAGAAGCTTTTGAGAAAAAGCGGGCAATGAGGTGCAAAAATACAAGTCTTTGTCTACCTTGGACAAGAAGGCAAAAGAGTTCTGATCGGTGAGTAAAGAGAAAGAGACAACCTTAAATGTTATCCAAAAGACATTATTTGATACTAAAATCATTAATGCCAATATCAACGATGCTCTTAATTCTTCTCACAAAAGGATGGGTAATTGGAAAAGGCTCTTTGTGAGGCTCATAATTGTTTGGAAGAAACTCAGGAGAAGTTGTAGGATGTGGAATCTGCAAGGATCCATTTGAATAAACGATATATGAAGTTCGTTGAGACCGATTACTACTTCATGCAAGCTACCTTTGATAATTCTTTGAAGCATGCGGAGTTCTAACACCCTAAGATTAATATCTCGAGGGAGAATATCCAAGTCGCGTTAGAGATAGCGGATGACAAGGTGGTGATTCTCATGGAGGACCTTACCTCCTAGGCTTCTTTTAATATCTTATCACTTCTAATTTTGATTTTGATTTCGTCAAGTGGTTGTCTTTGCCAGTTTTCACCTAGTATGACTTGTATTGGCTTCTTCCCCATTCCTAAGGGTATCAACAATGAAGAATTTTTTCCTTTCTTTTTATATAATGTTTCCCTACTTTATGCATTGATGAAAGTAATTTCTTTGCTATTGTGGATGAAATATATGACTTTTCGTACCAGCTCCCTCTTCCAAGAGGGTGGAGACTCTTTACAGGTTGTAGCGTAATATTTATTTTTATTGTCCAAATTTCACTACCATGTAGTTGGTTCTTAGTAGTCGATGTCGTGCTTGGTTGATTTGTTGGACATATTTGAGGAGCACGTACAATTAAGGGTCTAATCATCTTCCTTTCCCCAAGTGAAAATATGGTTTGAGGCCGACGTATATAAAGGCTTTACCTTCTGCATTATGGAGTGGCTAAGAAACAAAAGTGGGGGTAATCCCCGATCACCATCTTTTCTTTCGAGGTTTTTTGTTGTCCTTGATCGTGAAACTTCATCACATTAGAGGTTTAATAGCTTTAGTTTCATACCACTTTTTCTTTCAAGGTTTATAGTGTTTTTGATAGCTCATATCCTTTGCGTTTGATGTTTTCTTTTGGATTTGTGTAGATTTTTAACACATAGTAATTTCTCCTTGAAGATTCTTGCTATAGAGATCTCTTAGGAAGAGGATCATAGGGAGATGTATGGCTACCATCATTGTTCTATGAGTCACAAAAAGAAAGGTTACGACCATGGTCCTAGCGAAACCCTAATGATTTGTGTGATTTCTTTGGTTGTAATGCAGTGTCATCGAGAACGGACCTTGTAGTGACCCTAAGGTTACTATATTATAGTACTTCTAGTAGAGTAGAAATTTATGACGCAACCTTCTGTTGATTTTCTTCTATACAAAGGAGACTCTTGTTGGGAATAAATTAAATCAGAAAAACATATACAACTAATGAAGAATTAAAATGAATGGAAATGAGTGGCATGATCTAGGGTTAAACGAGAGATTGTAATTCCTTCTCATACAAGGATCAATGAATGTAGATGTATTCTAACTTTTCCTCTCAAACTTATGGTGATTTGGTCACTCCAATTTTGTCTCTCATGCAATTGAATATTGAGTGAGTGATAAGTTTAGTCAATTAATATGCAATTTGATTTACCGTTGAGACATAGGCTATATAGATTTCATTAAGTAACATTTGGTCACATATGTAATGCATATCTATTTCCATGCATTTAGTGCGAGTG